TGGTGGGTTAAAGTTCCTCCCCTCAAATGGTTTGACCCCCCTCCCGCCAAACTGTTTACCCCCCCGAAAACTGTGGTTCCTCAGGTCGCATATGCAAATTTTAAGCCTAACTGATCCCAAGGAACGTCCAACATTTCCAGCAGGCGGAAGACACACATTGCAGGAGGAAACGCTCTTAAAAGAGGCTCCAAGGAAACCAGTGTTTGGGGAGGGGGGGGGAGTAAAGGTTAAACAAACAGCTCAACAGGAAACGAGGCAGGGCCACCATGGACACGCGTGGGTAGTGGCGACTGCTGCGGTTCTGCACAGGATAGACTTGCGAAGACGCAGCACGGCCCATCGCCTTCATTAATGGCTGCTCAGGGGCTTCCATCTTCCTGCCTCAACGGACGTGTGCGCGGGTTGGGCATCAGGTTATAGTCCAAAGGGCATAGGAGCTTTCCACTGACAATCAAGCCTTTCAATCTTCAATCTTCCATACTGTTCAAGGATGGCAGCACTAATCAGCCTGGGGGGGGAGGGTGGGGTAAGCCATCTTACCCTCTTGCTTCCCAGAATCCTTCACACCTGTTCCGGGCTGTGCTGCTCTGCGTCAGGGTGCCCAGGAGGCCAAGCAATCATGAACAGGCCTGCTAACAGTTCTCCCCAAGTTCTTCAGCCTGGGAGGGGGGGGGGCTGGGGCATGGCAGTGTGACTGCTCTCTGCAGCAGCTCTCACAATAGAGTTTGAAGGAGGGAGATTTAAAAATAAAAAATAAAAAAAACACCCGTTTTCAAAGGCCCTTATCTCCAGGCAACAGCCTGGTCTTACGCGCTCCTCTGTAGTGCAGTGAAGTCAGCACCGTGCAGACATTCATGGCGCGGAGCCACAGTACCTGACAGAGCACAGAGTCGCTACAACCTTTAACTGACACGAGCGGCAACATGTCGCAGCCCCAGGGGGCGAGCAGTCTGTCCGCCAGAGTCTTTCGGCAGCAGTCTTATGTAACCGGAACAGCTAAAGTTACACCATTGCTCCAGCAACCCTTGAGTGGCACAGTCTCTTCCCTAGTTTGACACTAAACAAAGGGAAAAAAAATACCTGCAGCTCCTGCCTCCCCACAAACAGACTGTCAGTCTTCAGAGACCAGCGCCTGACTACCAATCTCCCTTTCCTGCCTGTTCTGGTGTCGACCTCATGGTGCCTCAGCCAGAGTTCCTCAGAGAGCTGAAGTCTTCCCCACCGGCAGGAATCACCATTTTCCTCCACATCAAAAAGAGTTTTTTTTCTGTTTCTCTGATGTTTAAATGCTACATATTATACCGGCAACATGACGACGCTGCTGACAGCGCACAGATTCAAATATGGACTTGTCATCAGTGTACACCATTTCTCACACGCTCTCACCTCTGACATGTTTGTGTCACACCCCATGAAAGATAGCTTTGTGTCGGAACTGTCTAGGGCAGGGGTACCCAATCTTATCCGCAAAGGGCCGGTGTGTATGCAGGTTTTTGGGATAACCTGTAGCTCAGCTGTTCGAACCCAGGTGTGAGGACTCTTTCAGCCAATCAGTCCTCTAATTAGTAATCTAATTAGGGAGTTGCAGCGAAAACCCGCATACACACCGGCCCTTTGCGGATAAGATTGTGTACCCCTGGTCTAGGGTAAGATGAAGCATGTTAAAGTGCAAAAGGAACAGTTCCTGTTGTCTACAATATCAGAAACAAGTGAGGAAGTCATCCAGCACAAGACAACAAAGGCAGCAGGTTACATGCAGATTAAGAGGTACTAATTATGGGTATTACTGTGCCACAATAACTATTAAAATTACACATAATCACTATAATTACAATTAATACAAGAGATGTCTTAAATATGAGATGTAGCTGAAGTGCAGCAAAAGTGAGGAAAAGTTGGTCAGTCGTGTCGGACGGGATTTATTTGCATAAATAACCTGAGCTTACAGAGGATGGTTATTGAGATACAGAGCCTGGAAGACGGACAGGAGGATAAGGACCCGTCGTACATGACCCACGCTCCCCAACGCTTTGACTAAACACACACAAGTCTCCGGCTCCTCTACTGTGACGTAGTTTCTCACCCCTGCCATTTTACGTCAACACGAAAAGTTAGAAACAAGGAATCAGAGAATACGGGAGCGAGAGGGCACTTGCCAATAAAATATTCAAGCCTTGTTCTGCAGGAGGTGCGGCCAATGCATAGTGAGCATCGCACAACCCGTACCTGTGCCAGCACTGAGCCACGTGGTGGCTTGGTGGACTGATGCTGCAGGCCATGGAAGCACAAGTACACAGGATATGACGCTGAAAAGGTCCTCACCATGAAACAAGTGACCTCACATGCGAGATACTGAGGAAAAAAAGCTGGATATTTCGAGTACGCAGAAGACATGCTGCAGCAACCGAAAGCGTATCTTACCCAAACTTTGCAAGTGAACATATCGTTATAACATGTTATAACAGCGGCAGTGACATGACACACCTTTTACCCCCTGCATTTCGCTACGGACCAGGGCAAACTTCACTGCAGGGCCAGATGCTGTACAGCAAGATACAAGACAACTAATAAAAGACAAGCCTTTACAAGGGGGAAGAAAGAAATCTTTAAGGATTCTCATATCCATGACAAAATGACCATAATAATTACACAATTAACAGAAACTATGAAAAGCGAAGGTATTTACAGGGGCTTGTGGCCCCGGTCCTAATGATACATTTAAATTAATGCTCCTTATACCTTTCAGACAGTGCGTGAGGTGACTAATTATTGAAGTTATCTAACTAATGCAGCTAAAGAGTGAAGCAGTGGAATAGTGTATTTTAAAACTAAATGTTTTATCATCTGCAAGTACTCAAGCTCACGGGCATCGGTAATCACTTCACGCGTATCACGGAGTGACAGAGTGAGTACACATTGAATTTCCCTCCCATCAGAGTACTTAATAAAGTAACGGAAAAGAAAGATTAGCCCGAATGGTATTCTTAACTTGGTTGTAAATGTTATGATTGTATTTATAACCAGGGCTGTGGAGTCGGTAGATAAATGCTCCGACTCCTCAGTTTCTAAATCTTCCGACTCCGACTCCAACTCCGACTCCCCGACTCCGACTCCTCTGTATGTATGTACGTACTATGCTAATGTATTTTCTACATCCATTGAAGAAAAGGAAGGCAACATACATGTCATTTCACCACAGAACTACTGGCTAGGAAGCCAACACTCTACTATAATGCCAGATTAAAGACAAACATAATGAAAACAAGGTTTCAAGGGTAGCGCATAGCGAAGGGGAGCCGACGGAGCTGAGAACACACCAGATGATTTTTCAGGCGTTTGACGCGTGATGACTCGTTGAACGGCCGAAAAATCGGCAGTGCATCTGTAAATGTATGGGGGGCTTTAGGCTAGGTTCACAGTTCCCTGTAACAGTGGAATACGACACAATGGAAAGCGGTGCCGCACCTTACCTGTGCATTACATCCCATATAGTGACGCATACAGTCAATGAAAAGCATGCTTCATGGTTACTTGACATGTTCGTTTTGTGGTAACATTATGCACTGCATGCATTGGGCTTTATTCTTACAGCAGAGAAGTAGTTCATTATGACTGTTTGTGAATTGGGACATTTCAACTTACTTTTTTAATTCCCATTTAAATTTAGTAGGAGTCGGAGTCGGTTAACTTTTTGCCGACTCCAGGTACCCAAAATTGTCTCCGACTCCGACTCCTCGACTCCGACTCCACAGCCCTGTTTATAACATTATGCAAAACCTTAGATATTTATTACAATTATACCTCAAGAGGTCTCTATATTCCTCTCCATTACTTTGCATAGTGTGACATTTATTCTAGTGGATTTATGACCTTATAAATTAATCACATCACCAACTTGTAATGATGGGGAAAAAAGGTAACAGTGACTGTAAGACTAGTTCTGTGGCCTGGGGAGAACCAGGTACATCCCAGCTGGGAGGCTGCGAATGGTTAAAACACCACACAATCACAACAGGGGAAAATGTACCAAATGCAGGCCACTCAGACTTGTTTTTTTCTAGCCATGTCACCCGTTAAAAACTGTCACATATACTGGCCAAGGAGGTTAGGAGTCATTTTAAATTGGTTGCCAACACTGGTTGTGAAAACATGCAGAATATCTACTAAAGAAAAAGAACATGATTAATATATGAAACAAGCCTTGCTATATTTTGGCAGAGGCTTTTCTTGGAAACATAAACAGTTCCGAGAAGCTACTTTTATCAGGAAAGGAAAACGCTGCCCTGACTAGCCAAGGAGATCTGACTAAATAAACGGTATAACGTCCAAGCGCGGACGCAAACTAAAATGGCAGATCTACCCTGCAAGCTGCTTATAACGTTTGTTTTCCTTACATTGTTGTCAACAGGAGACCAGCTTATCACGAGTGTGGCTTTGTGTTTACAAATGCAGGACTAACAAAGACCAAAGGAGTGCATCATCTCCTGTACAGCTAGACCCAGTGTGCATTAACCGCAAAGGAGCTGATCGCAAGCACGCCAAAAAATAAGAATAGATAGAAAAGGAACCAGCCACCAGTACGTTACTATACCTGCTACATAAATTCTAGGTATGGACATGCGTGTCAGTCAATTCCCAGATAACTGAATTTTCTCACGTTCTCTCACCAGCAAAAGCAGCATTTGATCTACCACACCAATTATCATTTATTTCCCACATTTTCCACCAAAGTCTCCGAGTCGGTCAACTTAGACAGTGACTTCACTAGATTTAGAAATTTAAAGGCGAAAACTAAACGCATGGTTCGTGTATGCCGACGTCATCCTATTACCGTGCCTGATACTTTGTAAATTAAATTCGATTTGAAATGGGTTATGATACAGGTACATAATTAAGGTTTTAAAACACAGGCTTGTTAAATACGATACAGTATACAATTTTATTAGTATACGAGCGTGAACTCTGTAGGGCACTGTGGGAAGATGGATAACTGTACCTACCTTTAGGATTTCCCCTCGTTTAAAACTTAGCTCGTCATCCGCAGTGGCTTTGAAGTCGTACTTAGCGACGGCTTCCATGGTGCCGGGTCGCTGGACACCTGTGCGCTGCGGGAGTAACAGGTACGCGGCCGCGGTGCGGTGCGTCGCGGAGCGGCGAGGCGAGGCGCTCTTTGTCGGCGAGCGGAGGGAGCGCAGAGGAAAAACAACAAGCCGTGCGAACCCGGGGTGTCTCTCTCCGCACTACAGCAGCTCTTCACGCCACGGCCGCCGGTCTGCAGGTGCAAAGTTACATTAGTTAGCGCCCCCTGCTAAAATTGCGTACGATAAAATGAAGAATTGCACGCGACGCGCCACTTTAGAAAGTGTTTGATGGAGCCGCGCCCTTACGCCGCAACTAGCATTGTGGAGCGAGCCAGCCCAGCGCGAGGAAGGAAACCATCCTTTTGACACCTCGCGCAGCCAATGGCAGACGAGCGCAGTCACACGCGTCCAATCAAACGCTGGGAAATGACAACGCCCAGTAGCCCCGCTCATACCCATGAAAAAAAGCAAATCCGTCCCCGAAGCCTCCCTCATGCGGCGGGTCAGCGCCGATGTGACAACCTCAGCGTCTCCCACAGCGGTTTCACAGCGGTCTCATACCCATGTGCCGCCGCTTGGTTGTACTGAACTGGCATGCAGGCTCAGCGATGTGCAACCAGGTAGAGGAATATAAAGAATGCCTGCCTATACTTTCCTAGTAGGCACCATCCTTTAAAAGAACAATAAAAGCTATATCTTAGGACACACCAAATAAACATTCCGACTACACGTCTGTATGTTGACTTGAGTATTTGTAGAATTTTTTTCTGGCGATAAGAAAACTGAAAAGGCATTCACAAAATTATGTAAAGACAATTATTACCTTAAATATTTTTAAGCCACTTAATAACGATGATAAAACTGTAAAATGATTAAATCGATCAGTATATTCTAAATGAATCACATTCATTATTCATATAAACATTAACTGCGAGATATATAAATTATTGGAATTTTATTTTATACCTGACGGTTCCAGATATAGCTTCTTCGCATCGAATTCTTAAGAATTATCAAATTTAAACAGCCAATAAGCGATATTCATCATTTCTACAGCTGTCCGACCAGAGGTGTATAAGCCTAATAACAGGAAATCGTCCAATTTTCTTTGTATATTTAATCTCTGCGTTAAAAGCAGATGATTACACATATAATTATATTATGAAAAATGAGGAATCATTTATTCTTTCCCTGACCTACATTTGTCAGTTACTGAGGAAAAAAAGCGAAAAGTTACAACATTGGATACAATAAATGAGTCCTGCGGGGAAGGTATTTTCAATATAAACCGGATCCGTAGATTCTGCTCGACAAATGTACTAACTGTACAGTGCTGGATCTTCAGTGTAAGATGCTCCCCAGTTGTCACTAAAGTAACCAGTAACAAAATCATACTCATTTCATTTTAGGCGCTATAATTTGGTACTTTTAAATGACGGGTGTAATTTAGTATTTTCCAATTAACTGTTTTCCTAATTATCAGCACATTAATTATGAAATTAACATTAGACCTATCATATTGGTTTCGCTCACAAACAGCAACCACGCATCCATTTCAAGGTTCTTCGTTAAAAAGTATTCCCGGATTACAAAGGTTGCAGTCATAGATTATTTTTTTTACAATTTCATATCGAACTGTGAATGACACTAGCCCCAACAGATGATGAAAAACACATCCTCCTCTCTAAACATGTTGTAAAATTGATAATCTGGCGATCACTCACCGTATCTTGGGCCAGATAATCTAAATGAATAAACGGACTCCGTCCTTTTGGCGTAAGAGAAGCACTTTATTGGATAGGAGCGCTGCCCCGGGTGCGCTGCTCTGTATTCTCCCCTAAAACAGTAAATTTCCGCTTCCTTTCCGATCCTCCGCTGTCAGTCCTTCGCTCGGCGGCGCAGGTCTCGCGTGACTTTCCCCAAGTCCGTGAGATGCGGCGATTTTTAGGGACTCGGCGTTGCGTAACCACGAGCGCTGTCTCACTCATGGTAGGTACTGATCACGTATTTAAACGCAGGTCTGAGTAAGCTGCGCGAAATTTGACGTTTTTTTCTCTCTCAGAAAAAAGAAATAGAATTTATTCATTTAAACGAGACATGTCAAGATATTCGATTGTACGGGTGTGTGAATCAAATACATGGTTGTGAGTCATCAAACTATTATCTGGTTTTATTAGCCGTTCAAAACATTACCGCAGCCAAGAAAACAATTAAGACAAGAAGGAAAATTTCTGCAACATCCTTTAGGTTCGTGGGACTCCCCCTCCCCACACTTTTTTCCGAGTTTACTCCGTGATAATTTGCTTCCCAGCTGCAGAGCACACTTGGTAGGGGATAGGATTTTACCTGCGCCAAAACACTGTAGTACATAACTTTTTTTAAATGAGACAAAATACAAAACCAAACTAATACCTGGTCCTTATTTGCATATGCCTGTCAGGTTTGGCCCCTGTCATCTCCCCGTTTGCCCAGCAGGTGTCGCTGCTCATCCCATCTCCCATTATTTTCTAGACCTGTTCTGTCATTAGTGTTCCCCATTGTTAGATATTTTTGTTTCCCCCCCCCCCCGTTAGTTCTTGCATTCATATTATTTATGTATTAATTCTTATATTTGTACCTGTTTCTGGTTATCCTTGTGTCTACCTAGTTTGGTAATTATTTCACATATGTTCCCTGTATCTCCTCTGTTGCCCAATGCCAGGGTTCCCCAGTTCCAGCCATGGAGGGCCAGTCTGCAACACAGTTTACAAATTTCTCTGCTCAGACATGGATACTAAATCTCAGCGTTGGATGAATGGGCTGAATAAGGCATGTTTGAGCAGTGAAATCTGCAGACTGGCCCTTCAGTACTGGAACTGAGCAATCCTGCCCTAGTCCATAGCGTTTGATTGTAATTACCCTCACCTGTCCCTCGTTGCCCCTAGTCTCTTGTTTTGTGGTTGATTAGTCATAATCCACAGCTGTCCCTTGTTGAAGCCCTTTATCCTCATGTGTATTTAAGTGCCTTACTGTCTTCCACAGTCGGTCATTGTGATTGTGTCGGCGTGTTCTGAGTTGCTGTTTCACTGCACACGTACTTCTGCTCCTGGTTCCCATTTGTATTGTCGCTGTTGTTTCCTGCCTGCGCTCCATAGATGTTAGAGTCAGTGTTTGGGCATTCACCTGATTGTTTTGACCCCTTGTGGTCCCTTTGTTTTTTGGTTTCCCCTTTGTGTTTGGTTTGCTAAATTTAAAAAAAAAAAAAAAAAAACACCTGATGGCCAAACAGGGAAATGACTGACTAAATGGAGCAAGAGAGAGACCAATCCTGATTATTCCATACACCCCTTAAGTCTTAACATAAACACAACATATATAATAATCATTATTTTCTGCTTAACATTTAGCTTTTTTTCCATTTGTACATACTGTCTGTCAGCATCAGGATCCAACGAACCAGAAATCAGGCGAGTAGCAGCCAGGAGTTCAGGTAACGGGGTTTATTTAGGGAGGGACGGACAGGCAACGGACATCCAACGTGACACTACAATGACAAGTCTGGGGAAGACTGACTCAGACGAGGACTAAATACAAAAGACAAGCTAGACTTAATAGGACACAGGCGATCACAATCAGGGCTGAACACGAGGTAATGAGGTGGGCGTGGCACACATTAGGATCGGACGGAGCGGGGCGTGACACTGTCCATCCATCCAACTTGTGTAGCCGCTTATCCTATTCAGGGTTGGTGGGGGTCCGGAGCCTATCCCAGAGCCTATGAGCACAAGGCAGGGAACAACCCAGGATGGGGCGCCAACCCATCACAGAGCACACGTACAAACTGTTGTTCAGTCTAATCCTGTTCCAGGTGTTTTGGAATCGCCCCGACTCATCCCACTTTATGACACTCCTGCTAATGATTAGCATCTAAATGCTAAAGTAAATGTGCTTCATATTTATTTCTTACTGGTATAACTATTATAATCATATTATTAATTGTTGTAATAATAAAAAAATGTGTACACCTCAGTATAAATACAGCCATTTTTTTCATCATCACTAGATGTCACCATTGTTTTCTGCCTTTAGCTAGAGCTGACCCTGGTCCAAGGCTGAGGGAGAAGCAAGTCAGTTTTTTAATACATTGTAAGGCACAGAGCACTTAGACTCCTTTTGGAAACTCTTTTCAGTACAGCTCATATGTGAAGTGCTACAAAGCTGACATCATATTAGCAAAGGTTAACAGGAGTGCGTAACCCAAAGGACTCGTGCTCGAAATGGATAATTCATTAATAATGCAGAAGACCAGAAGAATGATCACTTGTTGTAAACCTGCAAGGGAAAATTAAGTGTGACCATGTCATTCAGTCAGAGTTAAGTGTAAATTTAAGAGTATCGAGGAAAACCCCTTTTATTTTCAGAAGAAAAACTTTGACTCTGCCGGGAATCAGGAAACCATAACAGAGGAATAAATTATGTATCATAAAAAAACAGAGCGATAGTTAGTAGAGGCAGATAGTTACACTGACAGCCATAACACAATTTAAGTAAAATATTGTGAATGCAGTTTTTCACAAAACTGATCAGGCATACATACACTTATCCGTCAAACCATTAAAACCCTCTGGCTTATGTGTGGGTGACATGTCCCCCTCTTGCCGCCCGAACATCTCTGATCTGTCGAGGCATGGACTCCACAAGACCTCTGAAGGTGTCCTGCTACTATGGTATGTCTTAATAATTAACAGTAGTCCTACTGCTGATGTTTACACAATAGAATCCACCGATCGGGAATTAATGACCCAGTTGACTTTTTTTTTTCTCAGCTTAGTCTAAAGAGTTACTTATTTTAACATGCTATATATTCTTACTGCAGAATAAATCAACAGATGTAAAACATTCAGAACAGTTCAACAGACCGTTGGGAGATTATTTTTGACATAACTTGTAGGTTAGATAAAAAGAACACCACAAGAAAACATATATCCGCTGTTTCTGAAAAAGATTCTCAAGGTTGTCCAGCTTTTGTTGGCAACAAACAGCCTCACAGCAACAAACAGCTCCTCCCTCTGTCATTAAGCACAGAGCCAAGGACGTAAAGTCCACTCTCTGAACCAGTATAATTACAGTACATCAATGAAAGTAGGTCTCAATCTGTGTTTAAATGTCACCACGACAAACCACTGAAACAACCAGTGATAGAAACAAGATAAATAATACAGTTTCAACCTGTGGAGGAGAGGGTACCTAACCACGTTACGTGTATACAGACGCTCCTCTACTTACGAAAGAGTTACGTTCCGAACGGCCGCTCGTAAGTCGTTAGTCAACATTATTTTAAGGGTGTATGCAAGTACTAAG